TTGCAAAACGTAGTTATCAATTCTCATATTTTTACTTTTTTTTATGTGATAGTCAAATGTATCTTACCTTAACATTTACATAATTTGGGATGGCTTTTATAAAATAAATAGTTAGGTTCACAAAATAAATAAAGATATGAAGCTAAGTTGAAAATGGTAGTGTTAACAACGCAGAAACGATTAGTAAGAGTTCTACATACTACTTAAACAGTATCTCAATTTCCATAAGGCATTCTATCACTGGTTTTCTTCGAGCTTTTTTCTAACCAACTCATTCCTCTTTGTCGTATTTATAGGTGCTTAATGAGATTTGTGTTGGTGTTGCATTTTATTCCCCAAGAACTGATTACTGTTCATTACGTTCTCATAATATACATATCATAGACATATGTATGATAATTACATCACATATTCGTTCATATATAAATAGCAAACAAAAAATGGTTATTTACATGGTTGGTCCATGATAATATCCATATTTTAAAAAATCAGTTTGGCTATCATTTCAGTGTAACTAAAAAACAATGTACATTCAAATATAAACAATTCAGATGTTACACTTTAAAATCATTCCTCACTTTACTGAACAATTTAAAAAAAATAGAAAATTATAACCATCCACATATTATAAGAAAATATATATTATAAAAAAAATTTAAAAATAAAAATCTTTGAAAAATACACGCAAACCATATTTCAACCTCTCAAGACTTTAAATATTACTCAAAAAATACACCAATCGCAAAAGAATCGTATGAAAAATTGCTCCGAACCAGAAATGAACACAATCTTATAACTTTGACACCGATCTTAGAATTATATATTGACAAAATATTAAATCTCGCGTGAAACGTAGGCTTCCCTTAGTAATAATATAAACTTTAGACTCTATTTTATTATGTCAAAGTGAAATAAAATATAAGTGTATATATATATTATAATTTATTTCACTTTGACATTATAAAATAGAGTCTAAAGTTTATATTAAGGGAAGCCCGCGTTTATATATATATTATTACATTTTCTAAATTATTCTGGAATGGAGGAGTTCAAGAGACACATTGAGATCCTTGGAAGGCTCAAGCACCCTAACTTAGGGCTTCTCAGAGCCTTCTTCCAAGCCAAAGAAGAATGTTTGCTCGTCTACGATTACTTCCCAATGGAAGTCTCCTCTCTTATCCATGGCATGTTTTGAACTCCATCAGTTCTTTTTGGTTCTCTCTGATTCAGCCAAGCTTGATAGGTTTAATCTTGTGTCTTGTCTATAAGAAGTAGGGTTTCTGGGAGTGGGAAGCCTCTTCACTGCACATCATCTCTGAAAATAGCTGAGGATTTGGCAATGGGTCTTGTCTACATTCATCAGAATCCCACCCTAACGCAATGGAAACAATTCTAATCAAATTAATCAGTGACTGGAAGATGAATGCAAAAAAAATGGAAACAATGTAGCTTGATATACTCTATTGGATTTATACTCTATTGAAGTTATATATGTAGCTTGACATACAGATACATGCTCAGAAGTTCTAACATTAGACTCTTCCAATATGATTACATAAACCATTATGATTGTAAAGAAAATACTCTTCACACCTCTGGATCGAGAAGTAAACATTAAACTAGAAGGAAAGCTCTGAACACAAGCTTACTGCTGCGCCTAGCAAGTATGCACTGCAGTATGTCCAAAAGGATCAATCTGACAACTGATACCTGGAGTCGCATTAAACTCTGTCAATGCTTTAGGGGTTGTCTGATCAATCATGTCTACATAGTTTGGTGCTGCATCATTAATATGTATACACACGCCACCATTTCTGAAGAAGAGGCAATAGTTATTTAAAAGAGACAAGAACCATTGTGGTTTAGGCAGAGCGAGCTACCCATACATGAGGTCTAGTTGGCCTGAGCGTAAACCTTCATAATTCAACTTCAGTTCAGACAAATGGGTGTTGAGTGAGGCACAAAAAAAAGAGGCCTGTCAGACAACCGTGCGACTACTCCGAAGAGGTAAGACCTAACCAGATAGCGATCCTCTACAAGCACAGACACTCCAAAGAGCATTGTGGTCGTTAATCACACTCAGATTGCACGGCCATAGTTCATCAACCAGGATTAGGGGCCTGTCTCCTTAGAAATCAAGGATGCAGAGGTACCAGTGACTTCACTTCTCAACTCATCAATCATCATACAAGTGAAACTCAAATCTTCAAAGCTATGGATCAAACTAATCAGAAACAGAGCATCCTCTTTTCTACTAAAGTACCCCCTCTTTGGTGAATCCATCACCAGTTCAATAGATTTTAAAGAGAAAACAAAAACGACATAGAAATAGAATCAGATGGGATATGCGTAAGAG